AGAGAGAGAGAGAGAGAGAGAGAGAGAGAGAGAGAGAGAGAGAGAGAAAGAGAAGAAAGAATAAAAACGAACACGATTCGATTCATAAAATTTAATAAGAAACAATTAAGATAAAAAAAATTCGATGTATATATTTATAACGCAAATTTTACTTAATCATCGAAATAAACGCGTTCCTTCGTTTAAATTCGGAAGATAAATCTTGGTAAAAATTAATTCTCGATATTCCGAAGAGTAATTACAATTACGTGTAATTACAATTTATTAGTACCTCGTTATATATTGTTAAATGTTTATTCGCGATTTCCGATATTCTCAGAGACGATCGTTCCACGAAAATCCATTTGATACGCGAAGAGAAAGCGAGTACATATACGCATTCCCTCTGGTAATTCCTTTTCTCCGTGTTTCAACGAAAACCGTGTTCAAAGAGGAATGAAAAAAGGAACGCGCGATTGAAAAATGTTTAAAAACAAAGTCTGAGCGTGGAATTAATATCTATGTTATACCGGTTAAATCTCGACCTTAAATAATCCAAGGTACGGGAGAAAGAGAAGAGAGGGGATGGCGAGAGCAAACGGAAGAAAAGCGGAGGTATCTTAAAAGCTGGCAAGCAATGAAAATCGGGGATGTCGAAGAGGAGAGGAGGGGAAGAGTTTCTTCTTATAAGCATTGCTCGTAGCTATGAGAACGTTCCCACTCCCACGCCCGAACAGTGCTCCTTTCCTTTTCCTGCGCCTCCCCTCCACTCCTTTTCTCCCTGACCCGCACCTCGTCTTCCTTCTCCATCCACCTTGGTCACTTCTACGTGCGTACGTACGTATATACGATCGCGAAACGTATATATATATATATATGCAATACGCACAGTCTGATTACCAAGTAACCAACGCTTCGTTATTTCTACTTGGGTCGTTGGATACGGGACGTGTTACGATTGTAAGACGCGATTAAATAACGCGATCTTTTATCTTGGTCTAGAAAAGCGAATTTATTCCACGATCATCTCCCGTGTATTCCTTCGAAAGGCCATCATGGTTTCTAGCACGCGTGCGTATCTTGCCCGTTAACGGCCTGCTTCAGCCAATAAAGATAAATTTGAGTTTGTTTTCGTAATAACAAACTCGGAACCATTTGATTCTAACGATCACCGTTATTATTTTCTCCGTTTTATCTTTAGCATTTGTATTTTCGTCAAATATAAATAGATTTCGTTTCAATAAATAAATATCACGTTCCGACACCATCTTGGCGTAATTATTATTTAAAAGAAAAATAACTCGATTAATTATCTCTTAAATACTGTATGTAAAAAAATTCGATTAAACGAACTGTGAAAAGAATTCAACGGAACGAACGAACGAAATAATATCGTTTCGATAAAACACTTTCAAAGACGCTACATATCTATCGATTGTTTAAAAATGTCATCGCGTAAATATCACGATATTAACGCGTGGCTCGTTGAATTTCAAATTTCAGATTTTTACAATTTTTTTTAATCGCGCGGTCGCGTCTCGAGAACACGTCTCAACACACGTTTATTTATTTAACGTATTTCGACGAATACGAATACGAATCATGAAAATCCGTTTCAGACTTAATAATAAACGATTTTATCGCTTCGATTTTTTTCCCGTTGGATATGCATTTTTTACCAACTCGATTAAAACTCGTTCCTTTAATCAGATCATATTGTTTCACGAACAATATCGCGTAGAGGGAGCATCTTTTTTTCATAAATTGCAACTCGGCCGTAATTACAGTGGTGTTCACAATCATCACGCGTTTACTATTTTAAACTGCACGCGTGTTGTTTCTTCGAGACCGAGTAAAGGTAACTAATCGGTTCAAAGACGGACTGGTTAATCGGATATAATCTTATAATTCCTTCCTTCAACATCGGTCAATTACCACGGATTTACAGTTACTATAGAGTAAGTACGAATTTACTATATTTATAAAATTACGTTCTGAATAATTTCATCCATGATACGAAATCGGTATGTCTTCGATATACGCGACCAAACACTTTACCAACCAATCGATAACCAATATACTGAATTTATATGCGGAACACGGTTCACGGCTCTCAACACATTATTCTCGTGTCGCGTTGTTGATAATTAACCAACAATTTTCAAAGTTATTCCAATTTTGTAAAATCAGAATGAAAAGAGAGAGAAAGAGAGGGTTCTCTCTCCAACTCTCTCCGTATGAATTTACTTCGCTAAGAATTCGCTTCAATTTTCAAGAGAAGCGTAACAACAATGTACACAACAAACGGTACAATTACGAATCCTCCAAGCTTTCGTACGTTACGTGACGCGAGAAATTTTTTTTTTTTTCACGGAAAAATACGAACAGCGACAAATGTTTTTTTTACGTAACGTTTGCAATTACAAATTTACCGTAACTCGATTAAACGGTGTTTCGGTGACGCATAATGAGACGTCCAAGCGTCCAACGACTGACCTTGCCATCGATCGATGTGTTTCGTCCGTGTTTACTCGCGATACATTTTTTTCCCCTCCCATATTTCAAACGAGAAACCTTTCGACAAAGTTTTAACAAACTTAATCCCCTTGTACCTTTCCCCTCGCTGAAACCTGAACACACCACCAATTTTCCACGTGTTTATAATCTCGAAAACGAGAGGGAGATATTAAAAATTATGATTAACAGGAATATATAACACGATACGTTACCCTGCCGACGAAAAATCGCCTGTAACACTTGGCGGTGTCGTCTTGGTCTATCCTTGGTTGCCATGCAGGCTGGGCCGGAAGTAACGCCCTGCCGGCCGAGTCGAGGGCGTGTCGGTGATCGGTACCGTCGACCCAGTAACCAGGCGGTGTCACCACCAGAGGTGGCTGAGATCCGGAAGTGGCTTGCTGAAGCGCAGCCTCCATAAGAGCCCTGCCAACGGGTGCATCGCCGACCGGTGACGGGGACGGTGTGGGTGTGTGATTATTCTGATTACCAGGACTCGACGCTGCCCTGTCCTCCCTCGGGGTCTGTAATCACGACATGCCGGTAGTTCCATACTCTCTCTCTCTCTC